AAGTCCCCTGAGAATTTTGTATGCGGTGATCATGTCTCCCCTAACTTTTCGATCTTCCAGTGACGTGAGGTTTAATTGCAGTAGTCTTTCCTCGCGCGCGCGCGCGTGTGCGTGTGCGTGTTTGTGTGTGCGTGTTTGTGTGTGTGTGTGTGTGTGTGTGTGTGTGTGTGTGTGTGTGTGTGTGTGTGTGTGTGTGTGTGTGTGTGTGTGTGTGTGTGTGTGTGTGTGTGTGCGTGTAATTACCTAAGTGTAGTTACAGGATGAGAGCTACGCTCGTGGTGTCCCGTCTTCCCAGCACTCTTTGTCATATAACGCTTTGAAACTACTGACGGTCTTGGCCTCCACCACCTTCTCACTTAACTTGTTCCAACCGTCTACCACTCTATTTGCGAAGGTGAATTTTCTTATATTTCTTCGGCATCTGTGTTTAGCTAGTTTAAATCTATGACCTCTTGTTCTTGAAATTCCAGGTCTCAGGAAGTCTTCCCTGTCGATTTTATCAATTCCTGTTACTATTTTGTATGTAGTGATCATATCACCTCTTTTTCTTCTGTCTTCTAGTTTTGGCATATTTAATGCTTCTAACCTCTCCTCGTAGCTCTTGCCCTTCAGTTCTGGGAGCCACTTAGTAGCATGTCTTTGCACCTTTTCCAGTTTGTTGATGTGCTTCTTAAGATATGGGCACCACACAACAGCTGCATATTCTAGCTTTGGCCTAACAAAAGTCATGAACAATTTCTTTAGTATATCGCCATCCATGTATTTAAATGCAATTCTGAAGTTAGAAAGCATAGCATAGGCTCCTTGCACAATATTCTTTATGTGGTCCTCAGGTGATAGTTTTCTATCTAGAACCACTCCTAGATCTCTTTCTTTATCAGAATTCTTTAAAGATTTCTCACATAATATATAGGTTGTGTGGGGTCTATGTTCTCCTATTCCACATTCCATAACATGACATTTATTAACATTAAATTCCATTTGCCAAGTGGTGCTCCATATACTTATTTTGTCCAGGTCTTCTTGAAGGGCATAACAGTCATCTAAATTCCTTATCCTTCCTATTATCTTAGCATCATCAGCAAACATGTTCATATAATTCTGTATACCAACTGGTAGATCATTTATGTACACAATAAACATCACTGGTGCAAGAACTGAACCCTGTGGTACTCCACTTGTGACATTTCTCCATTCCGATACATTGCCTCTGATTACTGCCCTCATTTTTCTATCAGTCAGAAAATTTTTCATCCATGATAGAAGCTTACCTGTCACCCCTCCAATATTTTCCAGTTTCCAGAACAACCTCTTATGTGGAACTCTGTCGAAAGCCTTTTTTAGGTCCAGATAGATGCAGTCAACCCAACCATCTCTTTCCTGTAATATCTCTGTGGCTCGATCATAGAAACTGAGTAAATTCGATACACAGGATCTTCCAGATCGAAAACCATACTGTCTGTCTGATATTATATCATTTCTCTCTAGGTGTTCTACCCATTTAGTTTTGATTAGTTTTTCCAATACTTTCACTATTACACTTGTCAATGATACAGGTCTATAATTGAGGGGGTCTTCCCTGCTGCCACTTTTGTAGATTGGAACTATGTTAGCCTGTTTCCACCCGTCTGCTACGATTCCTGTACACAGGGATGCCTGAAAGATCAGGTGAAGTGGAATGCTGAGCTCAGATGCACATTCTCTCAGAACCCATGGTGAAACGCCATCTGGGCCAGCTGCTTTGTTCTTACCGAGCTCCTTGAGCATTTTTTCCACTTCGTCTCTAGACACCTCTATGTGTTCTATGTTGTTCTCTGGAATTCTTATTGTATCTGGTTCCCTAAAGATTTCATTTTGTACAAACACACTTTGGAACTTTTCGTTTAGTGTTTCACACATTTCCTTTTCATCTTCCGTGAATCTATTTCCCATTTTCAACCTCTGAATATTATCCTTTACCTGCAATTTGTTGTTTATGAATTTATAGAATAGACCTGGTTCTGTTTTACATTTGTCCGCAATCCCTTTTTCAAAATTTCTTTCTGCCTCTCTCCTCACTGTCGTGTAGTTGTTTCTCGCATCTTTGTATCGCTGGTATGTTTGGGGGTTCGGCCTCTTCCTGTATTGATTCCATTTTTGTGTCTTTCGGTCTCTAGCCCTCTCGCAATTTCTATTGAACCAATCCTGTTTCCTAGTTCTGCATCTCTGTTTTGGTATAAATTTTTTTGTGCCTTTATCATATATTTCACAAAACTTGCCATACATCTCATTCACTTCCTTGCCTAGCATCAAGTCTGTCCAATTATACTCACTAAAAAAATTTCTAAGGTCACCATAATGTCCTCTCCTGAAGTCTGGTTTTTCAACTGCTTCAACCTCCTTATTTTCTTCCAGCTTATAACGCATTGCATACTTTATTCCCAAAAAGACATGGTCACTTTTACCCAAGGGAGGAAGGTACTGAATGTCAAATATCTCTTCCTCCTTCCTGGTAAATATCAAATCTAGCATGGAGGGAACGTCCCCTTCCCTCATCCTCGTAGCTTGTTTAACATGTTGATACAAGAATGTTTCCAGGATGAGGTCTACAAATTTACAGGTCCAAAAATCTTCTGTTTTAGCTTCATATGCTTCCCAGTCTATGGATTTCAAGTTGAAGTCACCGACTACCAACAGTCGTGATCTATCGTTATCCGCTCTCGCTATAATCTCTCTCATTATTGTTATAAGACCTTCACGTTTACTATCTAGCTCCTCCTTTGACCATGTGCTGCTTGGCGGTGGACTATATGCATTTATCATCATTAGTTTATCATCCTCATAGCAGATCTCTAGTGCTATTATGTCAACTTCTTGTGGATTGGCAGTCATTATTTCCTTCACCTTTAGGTGTTCTTTTACCAGCACAGCAACGCCACCACCTTTCCTAATTTTTCTGTCCCGTCTCCAAACTGAGTAGCCCCTTGGGAATATGACCTCATTTAAAATTACATCTTCAAGTTTTGTCTCCGTGAGTGCAACAATGTCTGGTGTCTGCAGCTGTATTACATCACTTAACTCCAGTATCTTCGATCTCACTCCATCTATGTTGGTGTATGCAATCTTCAGGAACTTGTTCCCCCTCTCCTTATTCTTCACTCCCCCTCTCTCTATTGATTTTGTTGGTTTGCCTTTATGTACCACTTTACTGGTTTGCCTACCCCTATCACTTTGTAGAAATTTTTTTTTATTTCTTCTTCATTCCTGCTCTCATTTAAATGTTTTGCCTCGGCGAGGTTCAGTTTCAGTGTGTGTGTGTGTGTGTGTGTGTTGTTTGTGTTTGTGTGTTAGTAGCTGAGAAATCGTGAATGTGATATATTTGCAAATTAACGTCATGTTAATAGGAAGAATACTTTACAGGGATCAATATTTTACAGGGAACACTGTAAAAAAAATCGACTTCGTAAGTAATGTACAAAACGCAATTACGAAACCATAAAAAACACACAACAAATGTTGTGATGAAATAATGAAGGATTTATAATCATGATAAAATTGTATTCCATTTTAGCAATAATTGGCCAGTCAACCGAAATATACAATGTTAAATGGACTTTGAGCATAACAAACTAATATAGATGCAAATTTGGCACCGTAGTTGGAGCCAGAATAGTGACATGTTCGCGACCTAGAATCCTAATCCACTTCTCTAATCCACTTCCAATTCACGATCAGGACCATGTGAATCCACGACAGGACTCGCCTTAGACGCCACCGACACACGACCACTCGCCATAGATGCCATTAACACTAGCCACTCCACGGTCTATACATCCTCAGGTTAAAATATATTACAACACTCACAAGTTTTCCAACTACATAAGTATATTCCGGAGAATATATTCATTCACTGCCAGTCCAAACTCTCAAAACATCCAGATTCGGCCAGACTCGTAAGACTTTTAGTTTAACAAACGCATGGAGATAATTCCAACAACACATAATTATTGTATTTCATCACTAAAAACAAACATATCATAATAACCTCTTAAGAAAACTCCAAGATAGTATTCCATCAGCTTTACAACGTCATGTTAAGAAACAAATATAGGAGACAAAGAACAAGAATTCCAGCGTTTAACACCAATTAAAAGCGAGCAATTGGAAATAAATGAGGTGACAATATAACGGGTATAAGATAAGGAATATATAGAAGGGTGACTGGGTTTGTGTGAGGATTACTCCCTGGAGCAAGGAGCGAAATATTACTGAAACAGAAAAACACCACTGAATAAAATTCTGAATTACATTTTAGGCATAATCCTATTCTAATTTATATTTTACATACATAATGAAATTATAAGTTATACTGAAAATATATTATAAAATTCTAACTTACATTTTCTTTATAAAACAACTGTTAAGTTACATATTCAGGACCAAAAAGTCAAGCTTTAAACATACCTAATTTCTGGAATTACCACCTTGCTTATCATAAGAACTAAATCGTATTCATGATTCAGTCGAGGATGTATAATGCGAGTATGGGGAGTAGAAAATGAATAATACAATGAGGGGGCGAAGGGACAGGGAATGAACAAAATTGGGTTAAATTGGGGGAAAGGTGAATTGGGAATTATGGGGAGGCTTGGACGCTTCCAGTGTTAGTCTGGTGCGGGGAGGGGAGTCTGGTGTTGCTGTTTTTACTCTTACTGTTGTGATCACCTTGTTGCTGCCGTGCATGTTGCTATCACCCCATGCAGAACCCTTTGTGAACGATGGTGTGGCCTAAGCTGCGCTTAAGTTGTGTAATTACCTAAGTGTAGTTACAGGACGAGAGCTACGCTCGTGGTGTCCCGTCTTCCCAGCACTCTTTGTCAAATAACGGTTTGAAACTACTGACGGTCTTGGCCTCCACCACCTTCTCACCTAACTTGTTCCAACCGTCTACCACTCTGTTTGCGAAAGTGAATTTTCTTATATTTCTTCGGCATCTAAGTGTGAGGGTGCTAATGTTAACTATGTCGCTGCTCGTCTTACAGAAGTAAGTGATGATTGCGAACGCGAAGGTGATTGTTTCATATATGTGTGGATGTTAAGTTGACTGATGTTGCTGCTGCTGCATAAGTTATTGTGGATATATTATTGTAATTATTTGACAGTGTAATAATTACAAAATAACTCAATGTGCACAAGACCTTAACCCATGAAAGGTAGCCACTCTGCATATCAAAGTCTCTCACTCAAGCAGTTATCTACTTTAGGAATAAAATCTTCCATTGAGGTCTCTTCAGTGTTGCTACTTAGTAACGCGCTCCACGCAGCAAATCCATATTCCCACTGTTTGCCTATCTTATTTTGTTCTAAATCTAAACTTCTGCTGATATTTTAATTTATAATTGTCTTAAACTATTGCTGATATCTTTAGAACTCTATTTGGATCTTTTTTCTAAAACCTTTCATTCATTTCTAAACTACGATCATGTCCCCCTCTCGTTATACACATTTCCTGAGAATGAATGTTGTAGTCCTCACCATAAAGTAGGTTTCTAATGCCTGGGATTAATTTTTTGATATGTTCTTTTTTACCCTCAAGATAATTTACACCCATTCTATACTACAGTGCTAAAGCCTCTATAACATGAAATGGGGTCTCTCACGGGTAAGGTAATGAAGAAGCTAACAATATAAATTGTATTGCTACCGGTTCTGAATTTATATTCCACCATCCTCTTAGAAAATACATCGTCAGAATCTGGGGATTGATTGGTTTTAGTTTTGTATTAGTTTAATAACATCTTCACTGGCAACACTAGAGATCGGACCTCTCCTGGCAAAACTAGAAGAGATTTGACATCTTATGACAACACTGAAAGAGAACTGACTTCTCCTGTCAAAACTAGAAGAGATTTGACATCTTATGGCAACACTGAAAGAGAACTGACCTCTCCTGTCAAAACTAGAAGAGATTTGACATCTTATGACAACACTGAAAGAGAACTGACTTCTCCTGTCAAAACTAGAAGAGATTTGACATCTTATGACAACACTGAAAGAGAACTGACCTCTCCTGTCAAAACTAGAAGAGATTTGACATCTTATGACAACACTGAAAGAGAACTGACTTCTCCTGTCAAAACTAGAAGAGATTTGACATCTTATGACAACACTGAAAGGGAACTGACCTCTCCTGTCAAAACTAGAAGAGATTTGACATCTTATGACAACACTGAAAGGGAACTGACCTCTCCTGTCAAAACTAGAAGAGATTTGACATCTTATGACAACACTGAAAGGGAACTGACCTCTCCTGTCAAAACTAGAAGAGATTTGACATCTTATGACAACACTGAAAGAGAACTGACCTCTCCTGTCAAAACTAGAAGAGATTTGACATCTTATGACAACACTGAAAGGGAACTGACCTCTCCTGTCAAAACTAGAAGAGATTTGACATCTTACGACAACACTGGAAGAGAGCTGACCTCTCCTGTCAATACTAGCACATGGATGGCCAATAGATTCTTGAAAATTATTCATATGAAGGAATTACATCAAAATAATGTGTCTACTAATTAATGAATGCATTAAATGTATAAATCTAACGTGTTTACCTTAATTTCTGTCAATGTTAATGATATGTAACTCAATTATGATTTCCAGTAATTTGTTACGTTTAAGCCAAAATATCACGCGTGCTGCGAAATATGTCGTTGTACTATAATAGTTATTTAACTGTTACGAAGGCGAATTTATTATTTGTTTAAGCCAATAGTTCTGACAGAAAAAAGATATGTAAGGCGAGTAACGTTAGAAGTAGTAACAGTCCTCATAATTGTTTGTCACAGATCACTTTATAGAACTGGCCCTTACATCGGCAGGCGATGAGTCACAATAACGTGGCTGAAGTATGTTGACCAGACCACACACTAGAAGGTGAAGGGACGACGATTGATTTTTTTATTGTTGCCGCCGAAGGCGGCTAGTTTATTGTGCACCCCATACTCATCCTGTGAGCGGTAGCGCAAAAGCATTACAGAGGCGATGTTTCGGTCCGTCCTGGACCATTCTCAAGTCGATTGTGAGAATAGACTCGACCAATCGACTTGAGAATGGTCCAGGACGGACCGAAACGTCGTCGTCCCTTCACCTTCTAGTGTGTGGTCTGGTCAACATGGCCCTTACATCGCTCACCCACACATACATACACACATATACATATATACACACCCACATCCGCACACGCAACACAAACAATACTCTCATCACTTTACAAAACATTTTCAAACAAAGCGTCCGTATCTGCAAGCAGCGTCCACTAAATTCCCCGACAAGCAAACGCTATTACAAGAGTAAACACACGTGACAAAAGAAAACATGCATTGAATCACAAGTCACAAAAATTTAGATGAAGCCATGTTTGTGTTTGTGTACCTGTACTCACCTAAAAGTGGTTACTAGCTGGAACATTAGCTTTTAAGTCCAAATGTGCGTGTGTGGCATGTTTGTACTTACTATTTGTGCCTGCAGAATCGAGCTATTAGCTTTTGGACCCCGCCTCTCTAACCAATCTATTTTGGTTGCAATCACACACACACACACACACACACACACACACACACACACACACACACACACACACACACACACAGTTTCAAGTGTAGATATGATAGAGCCCAGTAGGCTCAGGAACCTGTATACCTGTTGATTGACGGTTGAGAGGCGGGACCAAAGAGCCAGAGCTCAACCCCCGCAAACACAACTAGGCGATTACACACACTCACACACACACACACACACACACACACACACACACACACACACACACACACTCAGAAAGCAGCCTGTAACAGCTGTCTAGCTTCTGGGTACCTATTTACACCTAAGTGAACAGATGCATCAGGGTGAAAGAAACTTTCCCCATTTGTTTCTGTCACGGTTGGGAATCGAACCCAGGCCCTTAGGACATGTGCTTGTGGGGGGTTGAGCTCTGGCTTTTTTGGACCCGACTCTCAACTGTCCATTAGTCAACTGACCCCCCCCCCCCACACACACACACACCCAGGAAGCAGCCCGTAGCAGCTGTTTAACTCCCAGGTACCTATTTACTGCTAGGTGAACAGGGGCATCAGGGTGAAAGAAATTCTGCCCATTTGTTTCCGCCATCGCCGGGGATCGATCCCCGGACCCTAGGACTACAAATCCCGAACGCTGTCCACTCAGCTGTCAGACCAACGTGTGTGTGTGTGTGTATGTGTGTGTGTGTATGTGTGTGTGTATGTGTGTGTGTATGTGTGTGTGTATGTGTGTGTGTATGTGTGTGTGTGTGTGTGTGTGTGTGTGTGTGTGTGTGTGTGTGTGTGTGTGTGTGTGTGTGTGTGTGTGTGTATGTGCGCGCGCGCGCGCGTGCGTGAGGATGCGTGCATGCAATAGAAGTACCAATGTTAATTAGCGAACAATAACAAACAATGACGAAGACTTCTACTAAAAATGCAACTAAAATCCTGACCCCTTCCCAGTGCTATATAGTCGTAAAGGCTTGGCGCTTTCCCTCTGATAGTTCCCTTCCCCCTTCCCTTCAGATTATAATAATAATGCTACTAATTCTAACGTTGTTAAGTTATCACTGCAACCATTCTTACAAGAAGTACAATAAACGTGTGCAACACTGTACTCCGCGGGAGAAGTCAATATTTTATACGGCAACAGACACTGCCGTCCCAGTCAATGGACCGCCGCGCACACTACAAGTCAACACAATTCCTGAAATATTACCTCGGCCAATTGCTCCCTATATTCTGAGTCACAATTCCTCCTGTTTTCCTATTGTCTCCCCTCGATTATCTCAGGTATTGAGAAACCACCGTTCTCTGTGAACAAACTCGTGATGGTGCAATTCCAAAACGAATTGGTGGAGATTTGTTTTATTAATCCAGTCGAAAATTTTGTGAAAAAATTAGTTATTTTCCGAAAGAAAGTCTTTGACATGCTTTTTACAATAATTAATTGAGGTTAACTTATTTTCTCGGTTTATCTAGTAAGTAATCTTCATGTTGATTTGCCCATGATGTCAAGAGGGGATATATACACCGCGAGTTTACCCCGCATCTCGGTGTATATACACGAGTTTACTTCAGTCCTCACTAAAGGAAACTCCTCAAGAATACTTTTTTAGTCCTGCCGTAATGTTAGGCCTAAAGTATTCTTGCTGGTTGGTCAGTAAACCCTTTTGGCGGTCTAATTATCCTCCAGGGTCCCAATGGTCGTAGTCCCAATGGCTCGGGTTCGATTCCCGGAGGTGGCGGTCGAGTTTCTTTCACCCTGATGCATCTGTTCACCTAGCAGTAAATAGGTACCGGGGAGTAAAACAACTGCGACGGGGCTGTCTAGCTATCAAAGCTGTCTATCTGTCTGTCCAACTACACTAAATATACGAAGCAAACATAATAGAAGAAAAAAAGTAGATTGGTTAGAAAGGCAAGGTCCAAGAGCTAATAGTTCGATTCTGCAGACACAAATAGTAAATACAATTAGGTAATACACATACTAGTAAATAGTAATATATAATAGTAATCGTAAATAGTAAATACACAAAAGGGGACACAGATGGAAATTGAGTATCCTAATGAGCCACAGAGACATTAGGAAGAACTTTTTCAGTGTCAAAGTAGTTAATAAATGGAATGCATTAGGCAGTAATGTGGTGGAGGCTGACTCCATACACAGTTTCAAATGTAGATATGATAGAGCCCAGTAGGCTGAGAAATCTGTACACCAGTTGATTAAAGGTTGAGAGACGGGACCAAAGAGTTTAATCCCGGCCTGCACAGTTAAGCGAGTACACACACTCATTAACCAACTGAAACTCATTAGCCCAAAATAGTACATAACCAAATTATCATGTACATTTAAACATACAATTCGAATAATATAAGACAAATTATATAAAAGTCACATGATATATATTTATCACATGATATATGTTTCATACTTTTATAATTGAATAACGAAAAAAATACAAAATACTAGATATAAATTTCATTTGAACCAAAAGTCTTTCGCCGCATCTTTAGTAATCTTGAAATAAATGGGTAAAATGGCAAGGAAGGTGAGTAGGGGAAAGTGATGTAGAAAATGGGGTGTAAAAGGTTGTAGGGGCGGGTAGGGTGGAGGGTGTACACTCTTCAGAGTGGAAGGACCTGCCCCAGTGTGGGGACTCATGACCAGGGCTGCTCAGGATATCAAAGAATCGTCATCTTTATTCCTCTCCTCCACCTCCTATGTTGAAAATGTTTATCTTCCTCCATCACTCACAATACATCACTGCCACATACTATGCCTACTACACAATTTATCACATGATATATATTTCATACTTTTATAACTGAATAACGAAAAAAATACAAAATACTAGATATAAATAATTCAATTGATCATATTCCCGTATACGATCACGGGAACATGTATACAGTCTACATCTGCCTCCACTAACATCCCGTTGTTCTATTATTGTTATTAATCATTGAAATATCATTTGAAAGACTTAACCCGAGGCTCTCATGTAACTCAAAACTCTTAAAATGATTATGTGAATCTAATGAGAAACTGGCAAATGTCACATTACTACTGGATGCAACACGTTTTCAAAGTGATTTTTTGTTCTGTAAACTAATGAGGATGCCTCTTCAAGAGTGATTAAATGAAAATGCTTGTGTTTTAATTACCGTTTGAAAGCTTTGTTAAATAATTTTCCCCTGACACCTGTACAGTAAAAAACTACACCATTGTTCTCAATCTCCTGCAGGAAACTGCCACTAGTTACAGTTCTCGAAAATTATATATTTTTGATACCCTATTGTTGATAAACATGTTTCTTACAGTAGCTTCCTCGTGTTCATTTTCGTTAAGCTAGGTTTTCCCATTCGTGTTATTTTACGATGTAAATCTCAAATGAACTTTGATGAAAACTGATTCTCTTTTGAAATGATACATTGTGAAGGGAAAATGACTTAATGATCGTTCAAAAGGGATTTTAAGAGTTATTATGATGCAGTACGGATGTGGACCGAAACACAACATGAAAGTCCAATCTATTCGGTCATTCCCACTTCACATCATCAAAACTCCATTTACAATATATTTGTTGTATCACAAAGAACGAGTGCTCCTACAATACAGCATTATGACAAAAAGGCAAATGGGAATTATATGCTATTATCAACACGCTCTGCCTCGCAAGCAAAATATATTAGTGTGTGTGTGTGTGTGTGTGTGTGTGTGTGTGTGTGTGTGTGTGTGTGTGTGTGTGTGTGTGTGTGTGTGTGTGTGTGTGTGTGTGTGTACTCACCTAATTGTGCTTGCGGGGGTTGAGCTTTGGTTCTTTGGGCCCGCCTCTCAACTGTCAATCAACTGGTGTACAGATTCCCGAGCGTGTGTGTGTGTGTGTGTGTGTGTGTGTGTGTGTGTGTGTGTGTGTGTGTGTGTGTGTGTGTAAGAGAGATATTTCACATTATTAACATACTTAAATACATGTGCATGTATCATTATGCAGTAATCCTAAACTATACAAAGAGCATGCT